GAACCAGGCCCATGTGGGCTGAGCCCTGCTTTCCCCTCCGTATTGCTGAGACAACGGCCCCTGGGGACAATAAATTACGAGCTCTGCACAGCCAGTGTCCCAGATACCTGGGTTCCTTTGTGTGTGTGTTTTGAGGGGACCCAGATGCCTGGCTTCTCTGTATGTGTTGCCCGGGAGGCTCAGAAGCCTCGGTTTCGCGCGTGTGTGTGTGTGTATGATCCTGAACACCTGGGTCATGTTGTTGGTGGGGGTGAGTCTTGGATGCCTCGGCTTCTTGTATGTTTGTGTAGAAAGGATCCTGGGCATCGGGGGTGTGTGTGTGTGTGTGTGTGTGTGTGTGTGTGTGTGTGTGTGTGTGTGTGTGTGTGTAGAGGGGGAGTCCCAGATGCCTAGTTCTCTGTATATAGAGGGGCATGGTGGGGGGAGGGGCATGGAGCAGAGAGGCCTGGGTGCATGTGTTCTCTGTGCATGGGGGTCCAAGATACCTGGGTTCCCTGTGTGTGTTGGGGGGTAAGGCCTGGGTGCCTGGTCAATCTCATGTGGGGCACCCTGTATCTGTACTTACCTGGCAGGGGAGACACCATGATCACCCAGGTAGTTTTTCTACTGCCTGGGGAAAACCACAAATGTGGCAGGGGGCAATACCCTGACTGAGGTAATGCATAGTTAGCCTCTCACTTTCATGTCAAGTGGGAAGATCTCGGCTATACGCCGACTTTATAGAAATGGGAGATTCCTCCCTAGCTTGCTCCTGCAACCGTACCGCTGAGGGCAGGCAAAACTCAAGGGTATCCGAACCCCAGGTCTCTGGGCTTGGGCCTGCACGTAGGATGCCTGCCAAAGGATTTGGAAGTATCTGAAGCCCCAGCTGGCTGGGGTGGGATGCTTGACAGTAGCAGGGCCACATATGGTTCTTGAATGACACACAGATTTGGATTTGATTTGCCTGATTTGACTTGGGCCATGGAAATTTTCCTTAAAAAAGTCTGTTGGAGGGGGAAGCCCGGCACCTAGGTGATTCTCTGTATGTACAGGGGATCCTCGTGGGACCATAAAAGCTACCTGTGCCTCCTCCCGCAAGGTGTTACATATGGGGTGTTACACAGCCCTCGACCTGGCCAGAAAACCACTTGTTTGTTAAAGCCGAGCAAAGCAGGTGCAGGTTTTGTCCCAGGAAAAAAAACCTTGTCCCAGACAGCGAGAAGATGATGCTAGAAAGAGAGACAAAGTGATGAAAAAGATCTGCCAGGCTGGGGGTGCTTATCAATTATGCAAATAACCTCTAAATGGCCAGTAGCCATAGTGATAGTCATGGAGGGGGTAGAGAAATAACTATATGAGTCACAAAAGGCATAGAAAAAGTTGGAACTAAGGGATTTTTGGATGGCTAGACTATACCCCAGAGGCTCCTGACGCACATTACACTTACGCACTTGACCAGTGAATGGTGTGAGATAAGTAGATTGGCCACACGAGCAAAGGAATTATCATGCCATTCACTAGTCAATCACCCAATGCATTTAGGGAAGCCATAAATGAAAATAAATTGTCACACACTGAACTCTTCAGTAACGCAATAACTAGATGGGCCAAACATGCAAAGAAGTTCTTGCAATCAACTGGTCAAGCATACAATAAACGGAGACTGGCCACAAGCACCAAGTAATTACCACGTTATAAAAATCACTGTCCAGCTATGAAGAGAGCCAAGCAGGTACAAAGTTAGCACATGAAAATACATCACAACTGTATGACTAGTTTCTAGCCAGCTTTCATTTGAATGTGTAGCAGGGCCCTGAATGTCTGAGTGAGACCCTGACCTGTCTGATCCACAGGATAGGGAGCAAGACTCACTTGCAAGGTAGCTAGTGCAGTTCTAGGTAGGGGAGTGTGCACTGTCTGCTGAATAAACTCATATGAGTAGAGGGGAAACTCCTGTCTCTCTAGCATCCTGTCTCTCAACAACCTGCTGGTACCCCAAACCCTTGGACTGAGGTAATAGAAGGTTTTGAAGGTTTTTGGGGGCACCATGGTGACCTGTACAACCACATAGCTGTGAATAACTGTGAGTGTGTTTTTGATTGTGCGTGTGTGTACACACAAAATTAATTAAATATGTGTGTGTGTATATAAAATAGATGTATGTGTAGTGTGTGTCTGCATGGATATGTGCGCACATGCATATGTATAATATGTATATATAAAATGAGTGTGTATGTGTGTAAAGTGCATGTGCACGTGTTGAGACATAAAATGAATATATGTGTATGTGTGCATACACAACATTAGTGTGTGTGTCTATCAGATGGATAGATAGATGCATAGATAGATATCCAAAGCCACAGTACTATAGTTAGCTTACATAACTCCTCTGGTGATCAGAGACTCTAGTCCAACCTGGCGCCTAAGGCAGGATCAGCCCTACCCAAACCATCCCAGACAAAGCCATTGTCTGAGCTCTTTGTAAAACGACTGTCAGTCATGACACAACACTGGACCTCACACCCAAACCTGCCATGGGAAAAGCCAGACCACCACAGGAGCCAACATCCTGCTGATGTTAAAGATGGTTAATAAATGCTTCAGATATTTCAGGCAGAGGCCATGCCCATGCTAGGAAGGCAGGAAAACCCACCTGGTCTGTATTAATCTGACCTTGGGGGGGGGGGGGAGGGATTCCTTCCTTGCCCCAAATATGGCATCAGTCTGATCCTGACCAGAGGAGCAAGACCCTCCAGCCAGGCCCTTCCAGGGCTGAATCCCAGCAGAAGCATTGTTACAGCCCAGTCACATTCCCAGCTTGGGCTGCAGCCACACCCAATGCCTCTGAGAGGGGCTTAAAAACACCCTGACATGTAGCAGAAGGGGGCGGGGGCAACCAATAAATCCCAGAAGCCTGGGAAATCCCCATAGCACAACATGGATAACACTATGCCTAGATCATCCCCAGCCAGTGGCTGTCTCCTTGAACCCCTGCAGTGATGGAGACTCCACGCCTTCCCTAGGTGTCTATTCTCCTGCCTCCCTGCTCTAACAGTGAAGTTTTCCCCGAGATCCAACTGGAACCTCTGCTGCCACATCAAGGCATGGGGCCACATCCTGCTCTCTGCAGCAAGAGGAAATGTGCTTGCTTTCTAGTGATGAGGGGTAACACACCTGGATGGATATTTAATCCCTAGGGAACTTGCCCTGGGGCCCTGAAGTGGGCCTCAGTTTACCACTTTACCATCCAGCATGCCCAGCTGGCATCATTCTTGCCTCTATCCTTCCCTATAGCCATACCCATGGCATCACTCTGTCCTCATTTGCCTTCCTGTATAATCTGCCACTGCTTTGGCATTAGCCCACAGGGGACACTAGCACTTCTGCTACATATTACATACATTATACAATTGATAGACTTATTGCATGATTCATGTAGACTGGCCTCATATGAAAAGGAACTGTCCAGTCATGCAATAAGTGTAGGCTGGCCATGCATGCAAAGTAATGATCATGCCATAATAATGGGCACCCAGCTACAAAGTTAGTGCTTGACAATGGGTACCAACTCTATAGATGGTTTGTACCCAGCTTTAATTTGAACATCTGGCAGGGTCCTGGCTGTTGACATGTGGCCTGGGCCCATTTGTTCTGGCCCAGCTTCACCATCTCAGCCTTGCATCAGACTCAGCCTGCCTGTTTCACCCACACTGGGCTCTGGCCCTCGACCTCAACCCATCTAGGTTGTTACACATAGGATGTCCGCGGGGTTGGGGCTTTCATTTTATCTGGAAAGGGGCAAGAGACAATAAAACAAGTTCCTCTGAACTACCACTGGTTTACTGGGATGTTATTATCATTTAGGCAACATGAGCAAGACCAACTGCGTCCAGTAGAGAATACACAGACATGTTCACTGCAAGGTGGCAGGTCTCAGCCCCTTGGACTCCAGCTTCCTGGTTTCATAGTTTCATAGTACTTAGGGTGGGAAGGGACCTAAATGCATCATCAGGTCCAACCCCCTGCCCCAGGCAGGAACGAGTACTGGGGTTATAACACCCCAGCCAAATATCTGTCCAGCCTCCTCTTGAAGACCCCCAAGGTAGGAGAGGGCCCCACCCCCCTTGGGAGTCCATTCCAGAGCTGGCAGCCCTAACCATAAAATAATGTCTCCTAATGTCCAGCCTGAACCTTCTCTCTAACAATTTGTGGCCATTATTCCTAGTAATCCCCAGTGGTGCCCGGGAGAACAGAGTTTCCCCCAATTCCCGCTGGTCCCTGCTAGTGAGTTTGTAAATAGCCACCAGATCCCGTCTCAGCCTTCTCTTGTGGAGGCT